ACAAGAAGGTGAACAAAACCTTTGAGAGAAGCCCCTATCCATATAGACGGAGGCGACCACCAATTCAATATGCTACTGATGAATTTATTGAGTCTGCAATCAACACGTTTGAAACAAATGTACATGTACCTAAAGATATAGTAGAAGCTCAAAATTTCAGAATGGAAAGCAGCAGCAGATGCTGAGCATTACTTAACTATGGTACTTGGGAATTGGCTCAATTACCAGATGGTCGTAAACCCATAGAGTGCAAATGGATATTTAAAGTGAAAAAAGGAGTGATGGTTGTATCCAACGTTTTAAAGTGAGATTGGTGGCTAAAGGTTATGTTCAAAAGTACGGAGTTGATTACAATGAAACATTTGCCCCCCCTTGTACAATATTCCTTCGTCCAAACACTCCTATCACTTGCAATTCAGATTGACATGATGATTCACCAAATGGATGTCACAACCGCATTCCTAAATGGCACTCTTGAAGTGGAGATTTGTGCAGCAGCCAACTAACTGGCTGTGTACCACTTAAACAAATCCTTTTATGGTCTAAAGCAGTCTCCTTGATGTTGGAATGAAGCATTCAATGAGCTCATAAAATCCATCAAATTAACTCGGAGTACAGCAGATCTATGTATATATAATTATCAAAACAGGATGTGTAAATGGGTTAGTTATTGTTGCAGTTTAGGTCGATGATGTTAATATTGTTACTAAAAATCTACAGAATATGGCAGATGTCACGGAAGAATTGATGCAGAGATTCAAAAAGATGATGGACCTGGGGAAGCTACGTCATTGTCTTGGAATGGTAATCAAGGAAAAGGGATGTCTGTTGATACATCAGACGCTATACATAGAGTCTATGTTAAAAAGGTTTGGATTATCAGAGGCTGAGTGTATCAACACCAGCTAACACTGTCAAAATGAAAATAATGAGTCCAAGAAGCTAGCTGACCCAGCACTACCACCAATCAGTAGTAGGAAGTCTACTATACCTTGCTATGGAAACAGGGCCCGACAAATCTCAAGCAGTTGGAGTAGCATCAAATTATTGTTCGTGTCCCTCAGAAACACACCTAATGACTGCTAAGAGGATCCTTCGTTACCTAAAGGAAACAACAAACCTAACTCTAAATATTAGAAGTCAAATGATGGTAAACTCATTGGTTTTTCTGATTCTCTTTTGGCTGGTAATAATGGCGATAGTCACTATATATATGGCATTATATTGATACTGTGTAATGATGCAGTACCGTACAGCAAAAAGCAACCAGTCGTGGCATTATCTACTGCTGAAGCTGAGTACATATCTTTAACTGCTGCAACACAAGAAACCATCTGGCTAAGAAGGCTAGTCAAAGACCTTAGCTGTTGCACCACCAAGGATCACACAACAATCAAAGAACACAACTAGGGAGCCATCACTATTGCCAAAAACCCAGTCTATCATTCACAAACAAAACATAGACATTAAACACCATTACATTTGTGAGGCAATACAAGATAAAGCAGTTTAATTGGAACACTGTCCACAGAAGAAATGCTGGCTGATATACTTTGAAACCACTAGCTCGTGAGAAATTTGAGAAACTAAGAGAAAAGACGGGACTACAGGAGTTAATAAAATAACAGCTAACACTATGTAAGTAAGTGAGAGTGTTGAAGAAATGTAATTTACATGTAGTTGTTAAACTAGTTAATTTTGTGTAAACAATATGAATATTGTTGTCTTGTCTATTTAATCTGATTTTTGTGCAACTTTGCTTTGCAGATATAGTGTGTATTGTATTGTATATTGAGTTATTGAATGATAAACTGTTAAGTTGTTTACTGGTGATCTGATCCTGCTAACTGTTTTATTGTGATGAAGAAGACCAGCCATCATCATCACAACTTGTTCTTATGCAACCAATCACTGATGTTATAACCAGAAAAATTATTGCTGTACACTGTGTACAGTGAATAAGTAATTATTTCAGTCGTACCAGTTGCCAGGGAGGAACAGTACATACTTTGAATTCAGTCATTGGAAAGTGTGCACTGCAACTGTTAAATTGAGTAAATGCATTTGTAGCAAATGGGCATGAATTGTTATCTCAGATACAAATGATCTAAAGTACTACTTGACCGTTTACAATGATGAACTAAAAGTTCTTTTAATGAAGGAATGGAGCGACTGAAGAGAACTTGCTCACAACAAACATTCATGTTTCACAACTACACTGGCACAAACATTATCAAGCAAGTGGTTAGTGACAGTGATTCATTGAGCAGTTATTGTCATTATTTAATTGAATTCAAAATGACTTGAAAAATAATTGAAATGATGTATAAAAATTAAAAATTGTTGCATTATTTCACTAAGCTTGCTAAGGCTTACCGCTTGATGTTTTACATTCTTCTAGTATTAATTATATTGATTAACTCATATTAGTTCTAATTAATAGATGTGAAGTATGGTCTCACATGTACTACTGACTTTTCACTATTTGTTTCCTCTTTCTAAGTTTTATAGTAAAGTTTAGATTACCATCAGTGACTGATTAGACTGAGTTCCTATCATTTGATGTTGGTTTTTGAAATGATGTCTTATGTTCCACTGACTTCTCACTACTTGTTTTCTTCTTTTCTCATTTTCATAGTATAGTTTATAACAGGTGTTACTGATCAGACTCTCAGTTCTTATCATTTGAGGCTGGTTTTTGAATTGTATAATTATACCTGGAGGGACTGATGAGACTGAGTTCTTATGATTTGAGGGTATTCCATGTACTAGTCATATCTCAGTATCTGTTTCTCCTTTTCTCAGTTGCATAGCATGTTTAAAGTAACATTAGTGACTGAATAGACTGAGTTCTTATCAATTGAGGTTGGTTTTGGAAATATGTTATGTTCTACTGACTTCGCACTATTTGTTTCTTCTTTTCTCATTTTTATACCATAGTATGAACCAGGAGTGACAGATCAGACTAAGTTTTTATCATTTGTAGTTGTTTATAAATGATGTTTCATGTACAAGTTACTTCTCACTATTTGTTTCTTGTTTTCTGAGTTTCATAGTATAGTATATACCAGGAGTGATTGATCAGACTGAGTCCTTATCATTCGAGATTGCTTTATAAATGATGTTTCAAGTACTAGACTTACTTCTCACTATTTGTTTTTTTTAATACCAGAAGTGATTAAGTTGTTATCAATTGAGGTTTGTTTTGGAAATGTTTTGTGATAGTTACTTCCACTATTTGTTCCGTTGACCAATCAGACTGAGTTGTTATGATTTTCAATTGGTTTTAAAATGATGCTTTATGTAGACTACTATTCCGTTCTTACTATTTGTTTGTTCTTTCTTCACTTTCATAGCATTTATACCCGGAGTGACTGATCAGACTGAGTTATCAACTAAGGTTTGTTTTTGAAATGTTTCAGGTTTTATTGACTTCTCACTATTTGTTTATTGCCTTCTCAGTTTCATAGTAACTGTCAGACTGAGTTATTATAATTTGAAATTCGTTTGAGAATGATGTTTCATGTACACTTCTAACTCTGTTTCATGTTCCCACTTTCATAGCATAGTTTATACAAGGAGTGACTGATCAAACTGAGTAATCATTTAAGGTAAGTATGAAATGATGTTTCATGTTCTAATGACTTCTTACTATTTGTTTCTCCTTTTTTCACTTTTGTAGCATAGTTTATGTAGCCTGGAATGACTAGTTCAATTGAGTTCTCATTAACTGTGGTTGTTTTAACTTTATGTTTGTTGTGCTACTTTTTTCTCACTATTAGCTTCGTTTTTTTTCAGTCTAATGTGGCCGTTTATACCTGGAGACTGAGTTCTTATCATTTAAAGTTTGTTTTAAAATGATGTTGCAGGTACTTGTCGCTTGTCACTATTTGCTTTGTCAGGTTATATTATTTGAAGTTGGTTTTTAAAGTGATGTTTCAGATTTTACTAACTTTTAACTAATTTGTTTTTGTTTCGTCTGTTTTATATACTTAAAATGACTGATCAGACTGAGTTCATTTCATTTAAGGTTGATATTGAAATGATGTTTCATGTAACTATTTTGTTTTCTCATCGTCATAGTATGGTGTATATCAGTAGTGACTGATCAGACTGAGTTTTTTGGTATTTAAAATGGTTTTAAATTGATGTTTTATGTACTTCTCCTTATTATTTGTTTCCTTTCTTCTCAGTTTCATAGTAGTTTATGCGAGGGTGATGACTAATCAGACTCAGTCATTTTAAGTTTGGTTTTAAAATGTTTCATGTATTTCTAATTTCTCATTTGTTTTTCTTGTCTCAATTTTATAGTATAGTTAAAAATACTAGATGTGACTAATCAGATGGTGTTCATATCATTTAAGCTTGATTCCGAAATGATGTTTGTTCTTTTCAGTTCTCACATTTATTTGTTCTTTCTCATTTTTATAATACAGTTTAAAATACCAGGAAAAACAGATCAGACTTATTACTTATCTTTTGAAATTGGTTTAAAAATTATTGCATATACTACTTCTTACTATTTTGTTTCTTTTTACTTTGATAACAAAGATAATACTATGAGTGACTGATTAGAACTCATGAGGTCTTATCACTAAGTTTGATTTTAAATTATTTATTTGCTACTGACTTGTTACTATTTGTTTCTTCTTTCTTAGTTTCATAGTATAGTTTAAAATACCAGGAAAAACTGATCGGAGTTAGTTCGTATCATTTAAGTTGATTCTGAAATGATATGTTGTTAGTTCTTACTATTCTTTCTCCCGTTTTATAATAGTACAGTTTTAAGAACCCGGAAAGACAGATCAGACTGAGGTCTTGTCATTTGCGGTTGATTCTGAAATGATGTGATGTTCTTTGTTCTTGCTATTTCCTTTTCTCAGTTTCATAGTACAGTTTATACAGTATGAAAGACTGATCAGACTGAGTTCTTATCATTTGTTTGGTTTTAAAATGTTTGGTTTGAAAAATGATGTTTTATGTACTATTTCATTATTACTAGTTGTTTCTTCTTTTCTCACGTCGATAGTGTAGCTTTATGCCAGAGTGACTGAAGAAACTGAGTTCTCATCATTTGAGGTTGGATGCTGAAGTGATGTTTCATGTCCTTAGCTCTCACTATTTGTTCCCTTTTTAACTTTTATAGGAAGATGTGTATCAGAATTGACTTATCTGACTGAGTGTGCGTTTAGTTATAACATGATGTTTCATGTACTACTGACTTACTATTTTTTAATTCTCAGTTTGATAGTATAATTTATGCCAAAAGTGGTATAATTTATGCCAAAAGTGAATTATCAGACTGAGTTCCTATCATTTGAGTTTGGATTCTGAAGTGATCATGTCTTTCTCAGTTTTAACACTATGATGTATATTGGGACTGACTAATCAGACGAGTTTTTATCATTCGAAGTTAGTTTTAAATTGATGTTCATATACCACTCCTTCCTCACTTTGTTTCTTCTTTTCTTAGTTACATAGAATAGTTTAAAATGCCAGAAGTGACTAATCAGACTGAGTTGTTATCATTTGAGATGATGCTATGTTCTTTTTAGTTATCACCATTCGTTTTTCCCGGTTTCATAGTACATTTTAAAATACCAGAAAAAACAAATCAGCTTGGTTTTAAAATGATATTATCATGTACTACTTCAAAGTGTTAATTTTGCTTTTTTTCTTTACTCTATATCAGGAGTGACTGATGGGACCTCGTGAAATTAGATCATGTAAGTTTGGTTTTGAATGATGTCCGATGTACTGAGTATCTTCTACTATTTGTGCCTTTTTTCTCAGGGTCATAGTATTAAAGTTAAAAATACCAGGAGAAACTGAGCAGAGTTAGTTCGTACCATTTATTGTTAATTCTGAAATGTTCATGTCCTCAGCTACTATGTTTTTTGTTTTACAGTATGATCTATATCGGGACTGACTGATCAGACTTCGTTTTTATAATTCAAAGTTAGTTTTGAAGTGATGTTTCATGTACTACTCACATTTGACTTTTTCTTTTCTCAGTTTCATAGTATGGTTTAAAATATCAGAAGTGACTGATCAGACTTATTTTTTGTTATTTGAGGTTGATTATGAAATGATGTTACGTTCTTTTTTAGTTCTCACTATTTCATTGTTATTTTCTCAGTTTCGTAGTATAGTTTACAATACCTGGTAAAACTGATCAAACTGAGTTTTTATCATTTGAAATTGGTTTTTGAAATGTTTTATGTGCTACTTTTCACTAATTCTTTTCACTTTGGTAGTCAGGAGTGACAGATCAGACTGAGTTCTTGTTCTTATCATCTCCGTTTGGTTTTAAAATGATGGTTCATGTACTACTTATTTCACACAATTTGTTTCTTTGCTTCTCGGTTTCATAGTATAGTTTAAAATACCAAAAGGGACTGATAAGACTGAGTTATCATTTGAGGATGATTCTGGAAATCATTTTATATTCTTTTAGTTCTCACCATTTGTTTGTTCTTCTCAGTTTCATAGTACAGTTTAAAATACAAGGAAAACAGATCAGACTGATTTCTTATTATTTGAAATTGGTTTAAAAATGATTTTTAATGTACTTGATAGATCTACTCACTATTTGTTTCTTTTCTTTGGTAGTATAGTTTATACAAGGAGTGACTGATGGGACCTCATGAGGTCTTAGCATTAAGTTTGGTTTAAAATAATGTTTCATATGTTACTCACTTGTCACTGTTCCTTTCTTTGTTTCAAAGTATACTTTAATTTACCAGGAAAAGCTGATCAGTGTTAGTTCATGTCATTTCAGTTTTAAAATGGTGTTATGTTCGTAGTTCTTACTATTTGTTTCTTTTTTCAGTTTCATAGGACAATTGAAAATACCCAGAAAGAATGATCAATTGTCTGGTTTTAATGTTGCATTTGGTTTGTTGTTTTATGTACTACTTAATGTTCACTATTTTGTTTCATTCTTTCTCACTTTGATAATACAGTTCATGCTGGAAGTGACTGATGAAATGAGTTCTCATCATTTGAGGTTGGATTCTAAAATGATGTTTCATGTCCTTAGCTATCACTATTTGTTTCTTCTTTTCTTAGTTTTATGGTAAGGTGTGTATGAGAAGTGATTTATCTGTCTGAGTTCCCATCATGTTATAAAAATGATGTTTCATGGACTAATGACTTGTCACTAGTCGTTTTTTCTTTTCTCAGTTTGATAGTAGTATAGTTTGTACCACAAGTGACTAATCAGACTGAGTTCTAACATTTAAGGTTGGATTCTGAAATAGTGTTTCATGCCCTTAGTTCTGACTGTTATTTTACTGTACAATATATATTGGGACTAATCAGACTGAGTTTTGATCTTGCAAAGTTTGGTTTAAAATGTTTCATTCTGTTTTAGAGCATGTTTTAAAATGCCAGAAATGACTGATTAGGCTGAGTTCTTAATATATCAGGTTGATTGTAAAATGATTTTATCACTGTTTTTTTTCAGTTTTATAGTACAGTTTAGAATACCAGGAAAAAACCTATCAGACTGATTTTTATCATTTGAAATTGTTTTTAAAATGATGCTTCATGTACTACTTCTTAGTGGTTGTCTTTTTTTGTTTTTACTTTTGTACCAGGAGTGACTGATGGGAACTCATGAGGTGTTATTATTCAAGTTTGGTTTTTAAATGTTTCATGTACTATTAATTTTTTATATTTGTTTTTTTGTGCTACTCATTCCTTGGTATTTGTTTCTTCTATTCTAAGTTTTATAGTATAGTTTAGAATACCAAAAGTGACTGATCAGACTGATTCTTATCTTGTAATATTGGTTTTTAAAAGATGCTTTTGTACTACTTATGTTTCACTACTTGCTTACTTTTTACTTTGACAAATAGTTTATACCAGAGTGACTGATCAGACCTGATGAGGTCTTACAATTCAAGTTTGGTTTTTAAATGATGTACTACTAACTTCTCACTAGATCTATTTTGTTTTTCTGTTTCATAGTATAGTTTCAAATACCATCAGAATGAATTATCATTTCAGTTTGGTTTTTAAAGGATGTTTTGTTCTTAGTTCTCACTAATTGTTTCTTCTCTTAGTTCATAGTACATTTTAAATATTCAAAATAAATGATCAGAATGAGTTTTTAATCACGTGCAATGGGTCAGAAATTCATTCAGTTAAAATTACCATAAGTGACTTGATCAGACTGAGTTTTTATCATTTACATATGGTTTTAAAATGACATTTCTGTACTTCTGACTATTAGTTTTTTCTTAACTTTTGATAGTATAGTAAATATTTTTTTATTTTAGTTTAATTATAAAAATGTTATAATCTTATTAGCTCTTAATTTTTGTTTCTTTTCTCAGACTGAGTTCTAATCAATTGAGGCTGATTCTGTTATGTTCTTTTTAGTTCTCACTATTTGTTTTTTTTTCAGTTTCATAGTGCAGTGTCAAATGCCTGAAGTGACTGATGAGGCTGAGTTTTCATCATTTGAATTTGGTTTTGAAATGATGTTTCATATATTTCTTACTATTTGTTTCTTTTCACTTTGATGGTGTAGTTTATACCACCAGCAGTGACTGATCAGACTGAGTCTTATCATTTAAGTTTGGTTTCAAAGTTTTTTGTACTACTCATTTCTCAGTATTTTCTATGTATTTATAGTATAGCTTAAAATAGCAAAAGTGACTGATGAGACTAAGTTCTTATCATTTGAAATTGGTGTTAAAAATGTGTCTTGTACTACTTTCTTTTCATTTCGTTTTTTTAAAACTTGATAGTAAATAGTTTTTGCCAGGGGTGACTGATAAGACATCATGAGGTATTATGTTAACTTTGGCCTTTAAATGATGTTTCATGTAGTATTGTTTCAGCATTTGTTTCTTTTGTCAGTTTTATAGTGTGGTTTAAACTACAAAAAGTTATTAATCAGACTAATTTCTGATGATTTTAAACTGGTTTTAAGATAATGTCTTAAGTACTTCTCAAGATTTGCTTCTACTTTTTCACTTAGATAGCATGTCCATACCAGGAATGACATCAAACACAATTTTTCTTTGTTATACTATGATGTTTTATGTACAGCTAATTTTTCAATATTTTATATCTTCTTTTCTCAGTTTCATAGTAGATTTATAGTTTAAAATACTGGATTTGATTCATCACAGTTATTATCAATTGAAATTGGTTTTAAAGCAATGTTTTATGTAGTTCTGACTTCTCACTTCTTGTTTCTTCTTTTTTTATTTTGAAGGTAGAGTTTTACGGGAGTGACTGATTAGCTTATTATTTAAGTCTCGTTTTGAAATGTTTTATTTTGTCACTGATTTATTTGTTTTTGTTTCTTTGCTCAGATATAGTTTCACAAACGAGAAGTGATTAATGAAACTGAGTTCAAATTGGTTTTACAATGTTTGTTGTACTACTGCCTTGTTACTATCTGTATCTTTTTTTACCTTGACAGAGTATATATAGTTCATACCAGGAGTGACTGATTAGACTGAGTTATTAACATTTAAGTTTGGTTTTAAAATGATTAATGTACTACTTATCACTATTTGTTTCTTTTTTCACTTTGATAGTATAGTTGATACCAGAAGTGACTGATCTGACTCAATTTTTATCATTTAAATTTGTTTGTAATATATGATACTTCATATACTAGTCATTTCTCAGTATTTGTTCCTTTTTTTCTGTTTTATAGCATAGGTTAGAATACAAAAGTGACTGGTCAGACTGTGTTCTTGTCATTATATACTAGTGTCAAGAAATATTTTGTGTACTTCTCTCTAATTGTTTTTTTACTTTGACAGTGCAATTCATACCAAGAGAAACTGATCAGACTGAGTTCTTATCATTTGAGTTGTTTCTAACAGATATGTTCTCACTTTTTGTTTCTACTTTTCTAAGTGTTTTAGTACACTTAAAACGCCAGAAAATCAGAGTTCTTATCATTTGATTTTGAGTTTTAAATGTACTACTTACTTCTGGGTAATTTGTTTTTTCAGTTTCATAGTATAGTTTATACCAGGAGTAACAGATCAGACTGAGTTCTCATCATTTTAGGTTAATCAGAAATGTTTTAGTTTTCAACCTGTTTCTTCTTTACTCTGTCACAGCATAGTTTGAAATACCAGAAAAGACTGATCAAAATGAGATATCATTTGAAAGTGATTTCAAATGATCTTTCATGCACTTTACACAATTTTTTATCTTTTATTTTTTTATAGTGATACCTGAAGTGACTGATCAAAATCAATTTTTACATTAATCTTAATGTGATTTTTCTTGTACTATTCATTTCTCAGCAATTGAGTCAGTGCATACTAAGATGTATTTACATGCCAAAGTGGACTGATCAGACTTAGTTTTAATCATTTGAAGTTGATTCTGAAATGATGTTATGTTCCTAGTTCTCAATATTTGCTTCTCCTTATCTCAGTTTCCTAATACAGTTAACAATACCAGGGAAGACTCAGTAATCATTTAAAATGTTTCATGTGTTACTTATTTGTCACTATTTGTTTCTTTTTCAAACTTTAGTAGCATAGTTTATGCCAGTAAAAACTGATCTGACTCAACTTTATAATCTTAGTTTCTATATGTCTCATGCACTACTTATTAGTATGTTTCTTAATTTCTCAGTTTCATAGTATGGTTTTAATTACTAAAAGGAATTTATCAGACTGATCAGACTCTCATTAAATTTGTAAAGTATTTGGTATTGAGTTTTTGTCTAGAATTAGAGCATTAATTGATGAAAGGAAACATTCTTGACGTGGTTTTGTAGAATTTCACCATTAATAAAGCCATTGCATCTGGTAATGTAATATGTTGAGGCGTCTTTGTAATCTCGTATAGCAAAAATTGGGATAAAAAATAGGAAATAGGTGATGCGTAAACTGAAGGCACAAAACCTTTTGCAATTTTATTGTGAAATTTCCAATTTTAACTAAGTAATGCAGTATTTGTAACTGATTTTTGTGAAAAAAAATTTTCTGCAAATGTTTTAAAAGCAAATTCGTGCAATATGCATAGAGTAAATATTT